TGCCTATAGATTTCCATAAAGTACAAACTGAAATTTAGTATAATTAACTAAGGAGAGTGCTTGAAAAAGTTTATATATAAAATTCCAGGACTTGAAAATTGTTAAAACTTCAGAAAGGCTTGCTAAGGGGACTTATTTAAATAATAGAATTATTTTTGTGTGTTTGTAATAGTACATGGAGACTCACTTACAGTTCTCAACTTCTGATACTTTTTACAGGAATCCAACTCAGTGCCTGTGCAGGCTAGGCAAGTGCTCTATCATTGAGCTACATCCCAAAAATTGTACATTATTTTATTTTATTTTTATTTTCTAGTACCTACAGCAAGTAGAACACAATGTCTAAATATTCCTTCTTTTTATAGTTCAATTTATTTTTTTAAACTACTTTTTAAATTCTAATTACATACCAATACACCAAGCAGTGCCAGTTTTTCTAATAAGCCAATTTATTGGTCTACCTCCCCCAGTGCATAAACAGTAAGAAGCTCTAAAGCATGAGGACAGTCCCTTAGCAATTTGGTTTATATTGTTTATTTTCTGTGACTTTCTTTTTGTTCATAAATAGTAAAAAATTATTTTTCTATTCATCAGGGCTGAGAGCTTAATTTAATCATGCTTGTGTACCAATGTCAATAAAAATTCCTGGCATATAAGAAGCATTTGATAAATGATAAGTAAGCCAAATTATCTGAAATCCTAAATGTGGAGAAGTTAATAAAATGTTGCCACATGAAAAGCCTTTTTGAATATATATTTTATCTAAGATTACAAGTTCTTTTAATACTCATCAGACTAAGAAGGTATGAAATTTTCCCCAACTGTATGTTATAAATATGTTTACCATATCATATTTTTTCACAAAATGTCTATTAAGTAATGTGTTAGATGTTTTATATTCAGACTTAGATGAATCAATTGCTATTAGAATAGTAGTAGCATGGTGCCCTTGATAAATAATTTTCAAATGTTCAACCAAATAATTTATTGGTCTGTGAAATTCCTGGGCATTGGAACATAACTAGACTTAGTCTCTTAGAACTTGAGTGAATTCTCAAGAGGAAAAACCATGACTTGTCTCATTTTTCCCCTTATATCAGAAGTTATAAAGGATTTATCTAATGATTTCTAGAAAAGTACACCAACTAGGAACCAATCTCTCTCTGAAATGACTCAGGTAGAAAAAAATAAATGTAGACAAGATATTAAGAGACTTTTTGTGGATAAGTGTTTGAATAAAAGAAATTTCCAACCTCCATTTTGATAAACTTAATCATATTTTATGACCTTGATCATTAAAATCTTAAAGGAAGGAAACAGTATTTTTTTTTTAAAGTATTTAGGGCTCACTGGTAGAGTATTTATCTAGTATGCATGAGGCCCTATTTTCCATCCCTGGTACCAAAAAAACCTGTTAATTAGAGATACAGACATAGGCAATCAGAAGTTTAAGACCCAGGGATTCATAAAAGAGACTAAGCAAAGAGAAATATTCTCAAACTTAGGGAAAAATGTATCAGTTGCTCTGTACCCCTGTGGTAATAGTCCAGTAGTACTTTCTTCTTTTCCTTCTCGGCATATAAAATATTAAGTGAAAATGTAACTATTATGGTGTACATACTAACACACTTAATTTCTGTCAGTATTCATCAGAAGAATTTTAAGCAAATTCTTTAGTCCTCTACCAAATGTTTCACACTGGTCTGGCAGAGTGGCTCAAGTGTTAGAACACGTGCATAGCAAGAGTGAAGCCCTGAGTTCAAACCCTGGAGCCACTGAAAAAAAAAGTGTCATAAATGTTTAACACTATTAACTTTTTAGCTTAAAAATATTCATGTCTATACTTGCAAAATTATAATTATAATTCTTTTATGATCAGGAAATGGTAACTTTGTGTTTTTGAAAAAACAAATATATAATTATGTTTGTAATACACTAAAATAAAAAATGCTTTCTCATTAAATTATTAAAAATTACATGAACACATGTCATTACATGAAATCTACATTTTGTCAATACCTTGCTTAATTTTTTTCAAAATAAAATAGGAATAATAGCTTGGTCATATTATATCATTTATTTTTGCATACTTGAAATAAATCTCGATGGTTTAGGTTGGTGTTTCAGAATATGAAGGAAAGTAGAACACCACATACTGCCCACAATTTATCATTTTTGGTTCCCAGGTTCCAAACACTTTGTCTAGAGGCTATGGAAACATGAGATTTTAATGCAAAGTTTCACTAACAGATTAAAGCACATACACAGGAAAATTAATTTTCCACCAATCAAAAGCAAAAGCATATTATGATTAAGTAATAAGTAGTTATTATTGAGTACCAATTAGTGCAGGGCTTTATAGGAGAAAGAAATATAAGACATGTTAAAGTCATTACTAATACCAGAATGGTACTCAGTAAGTGCTTTGAACAGTCCCTTTGTGGCAGACAGGTATGTCTAAAGAACATCTGAAGATGTACATGAACAATTTGAGGCATTTTATTTTGCAAATTTTAAAAAAGGTAATTTTCTAAGAACAAAAGGACTGTATTAGGCTTAGCAAATTTATAAAAATAGCACTGTCCTGTCCTCACTTTTTTCATCAGAGTTGAAGTCTTCTTCCCACAATGGCTTATTGTGCACATTACAAAGTCTTCAGGGTCTTCAGAATTAAAGTGACAAAAATTTTTTTTTTAAGCACACATGAGAATGGAACATTCTTCCTTACTCTTAATATGGCTTTAACAGACTTCTCCAGTAATTTTCAGTCATCTCAACAATAGAAAATCACCAAGACAATGCAATGATTTTACAAAGAGAAAGAATGACAGTTTCCCTTCTACTTTTCAAAAATGTTTTGTAATATGATTTGCGATTGCCTTTATGGAATAGACTCAAAACAGGAATCAATTCGTACAAAGTGACACTCTCTATAATAAAGAACGCCTATACTTCTGAACAACACATCAATTCCCATACACTCACAATGTCATTATTACCATTAGAACCATTCCCAGAATACTTTTCTGACAGGGAAAATAGCTTTGTTTAGAATAAACTGACAATGTCAGTAAAACAAGCAATAAAATATAAAGAGTTTATATTTTATTTGCACTACTACATCTCCAGTATTTCTAGCCCTCACTAGTAAGACTGGTCACCTATCAATGGTTTGTTTATACACAAGTATTTATTGTACCCCTACTATGCACCAAAGTGTTCTGTTGGGTGCTGGTAACAGCTGTAGTCAAAACAGATAAGGACACTGCCCTGATGATGTAGACTCATGTAGACAGTTAATCCCGTAATAAGGGGATTGCATATTATGAGTATAATGAAGGAACAATACTGAGTACCAGGATACAAAAACAGGAAGCTCTAACTTAGACTGGACCTCCTCAGTGGAAGCTGGGCCCTGAAGGATGTCTAAGAATTTTCCAGATGAAGAGTTAGGAAAGTACTTTAGAGGGCATGGCTTATACGAAGGTCCTGGACATTGCATTCTCAAATCTAAACAAAGCCATGGGCTCAGGCACAAGCTGGAAGGAAAAGCAGAGTGGCACCTGTTGAAAGGCCTGTTGGTCAAATGAAGGAATTCTGATTCTCTCTTGAGGATAGTGGAAGGCTACTGATAGATCCCAAGCAGGAGAGTGATGATGATTTTTGTCTGCTGTTTAAAGAATGGACTAGCTAAAATTTCAACATGCTAGAGGCGACCCAACTGACTCAAAGTCCAATTCTCCCATGAAGAAATCTTCACTATTTTTAAATCCTATGTCACTCAATATAAAAATTCTGAGCAATAAGAAGGAATCCTGATAAAGAACTAAATTCCATCTTAACTAAGTTTAAGAGTTATTTGTCTGATAAGATTATTCAACACAGAATGCCCCAGACACCATAGATATACATAGACATACACACATGTCCTGGGCTGAAACCCAATGTTAAAGAGCTCCTTCCTTGTACATTTTTTAAATACAGAATTTGATGTAAAAGGCAATTTCCAAATACATTTTATGATGCTGGTATAAAATCTTATTTGCACACATACCAATAAAATTGCAGTTAGCTAATTTCTCCTATTTCCATGCTTAATATTCTCCTTGTAATTGCAGGGAGAGGCAGGGGTATGAATGATGAAATACATTAAATCCAATACACATTAGGAAGGAAAAGGAGACAAGTCAGACTCCAGAGTGCTATATAATACCTACTTCTTCAAAATTTCTCCTCAAAGCTGCCCTACAACTGGGTCATAGTTTTATCTAACAAGCATAAGTAGACTAATTCAGATACAAAGTTTCTTACAAAACAGTTTTATTTATTATTTATACTCTATCTACTTCCAAAAGGAATTATAGTTTCCTTTAAATGAGAACTTTCAGAACTTGGCACCAGAAAACTGCTTGAAGTTTGACTTCTCCCTGAAATGCCCCGCTAAGAAGAGCAATCTGCCTAATTGAATCAGAAATTGGGGGCTAAAAAGAACCTGGTTTCTTCTGCTATCCAATCACCTGTTGTAGACAGACTTTTATCAGTTACATACAGAATTGTGGACTCCAAGTTGAGCCTATAGCTCACACTTATAATCCTAGCGACTCAGGAGGCAGAGATCAGAAGGACTGCGGTTCAAAGCCAGCCCAGGCAAATAGTTCACGAGCCCCTATCTTGAAAAAACCCATCACATACACACACACGAAAAAAAAAGGACTGGTGAAGTGGTTCAAGGTGTACTCCCTGAGTTCGAGCCCCTAGTAGCACAGAATTGTGGGCTCTACAAGATTGTTCCATCTGAAAAAAATATAATAAAACATGCAGCAATGGGATTTTTGTAACTGTGGTAATATTTGACTATTATATATCTTAAAAATAATTTTACTGAAATCATTCCTCAAAGAAAATGTAATGCATATTGGTTTCCTTAGGAAATTTTGACTATGTGGAACATCTGAGCCAATATTCTACTGAGGGCCTTAGAGGTATCTCTCACTACCCACCTTGATCTCTTTCATGCCATGTTCGACTTCCAGCAGCTGGTGAATTTGGAGAGGGGTAAAAGTCTCCTGTAGGACTGGGCTCCATATTTTCATCTATGGATATAGTTTTGGGTCTTTTGCTGTTAAAATATGACAACAGTTATATTAATTGGGATTGATGAGAACAGATGTAGCATTTAAAACTCAATAACTTGAGAAAATGCTTACTGTGAAAATTTTCATAAACACAATAATCAAGTAATTTTGAAATGGTGAGTATCCAAGACATCAACACACCATAGCAAACATTTCTACATTTATGACATTTATTATATCATCTTACAACTATTCCTACCTAACAAATACGGTATGCATTATATTTACTTTTTCAAATGTTTTTTTTTTCAAAGAAATTTCAATCATAAAAAGTGAACACTTAATGTGGTTTGTCGGCTCTTATTGAAATTATTTTTATTAAGATTGAACTTGATTTGTATTATCATTATTACTAATATTAATACTGTTCATTTGCATAGCACTTGTCCTTGATATTGTAATTTTTGCACATTAATTCAGAGATAAGGTAACTGAATAGAGCAGAGTGAGAGCTTCAGAAGTCACGAGTCTTGACAAAGTAATTTATTAGTTCTTAATTGTAAGCTCTGTAACCTTTCTAAACTCAGTTTAGTCATCTGTAAACTGGAAATAATAAAACGTAGTTCAAAGGTGTTGGTTGAGAAGATTAAATGAGTTACTAACTGTATAGTTCTTTGTTAAGTGGCTGACATTTAGGAGACACTCATTAAATATTAATTATTACTATTAACCCTATTATTAATAATACAAATTTTATAGTACTTTACTGATTATAAACTATTTCATGTATTTTTCACTTTTTCCTTGAAAATTAGGTTATTGATCCTTTATTCTTAAGATCAACCATGAAAAATGGTTATTGCCAAATTCAAATCAAATGGCATACTTTTATAATGAGACAGGTTAATGCAGAAAATATGACTCATCTTAATTGTTTAAAAAAGTGAACATCTAGAACAAAGACTAAAATACCTTTTTATAATATTGGCCATACTGCCTGATATATTGCTTTGATATACTCCCACCTATATCTTATTAAACAATTATGATTATGAAAATGAATTTTTTTCTTTAGTTAGAAAATCTTATTTACACATATGGTGGTAAAAAAATAAAAACACACTTCCTGAATTAACTACATGCAATGTTAACAAATACAATGTCATAGGATACCAAAATTGTAAATTACCATAGAAATCACGTACATAAACCAATCCCCCATTTTTAACAAATAAGGAGAAAAATTTGGTGAAATTCAATGGTTACTCAGGCTCAGTTAATGGAAGCAGTCAGACTCTGAGGAAGGACCTTTGCCACCCAAAGCACTACACTCCCAAGTCCTTAAAGCCTGAGTCCCTTTACAGATGCACTTGTGATTGGTATTTGACCCACAGCTCCCAGGGTATAAAGGATTAAGGATAGCAATTTCTATTTATGCTAAATCATAGTCAGAATGAATATTAATGGTTCTTTAGTTTCTCCCAAAGGTATCCAAAGTTAGAACTTACACTTTTAAACTCTCTTTTTAATCTAATTCTTCATCTGTGAGTCATCAGAAGTATAAAAAAACTGAAAATGGGGGAGAAATCATTTTCATAAGGAGGTAATGGACAAATGTTTTTAAACCTTCCTTCTGAAGGATGTAGTATTTGATACTGAAAAAGATCTGTGCTGACAACATTCTGATCCAGTAACAAAATAAATTACTATTCACATTTTAAATTTAGAAAAAAACTGAAGTACTTTTAAGTCTTCATCATGGCAGAGATAATTCTAGTGATAATAAATCTAATTATTTTGATGCACAATCTAATTATATGAAAATAGGTTGACTATAAATAATATAAAATTGACCTTAGTTAATAAACATATAAATATGCATATTTCCCATAAGTAATTCAAACGTAATTAACTTTCCATTACTGAGAATAATCTAGAAAAAATACTTCCTAGAATTCTTTTATTTTTAAAACTTGACATAATGAAATATATGTACTCTCATATATTTGATCATGGATATATTTATGGCTATGGAAGTGAGATGGATCTTCATATGTGGAAGATTCAATTCAAAAAAACAAAAGCAACGCATTTATTAAATTTATTCATCTTGACTATAAGTTACAACAAGAGAGATGGGAATGTCAACAGAAAACTAAAAAGCAAAGAAACCTAAGCAAAGAAATTTAGGTTAACCTAAATCTCAGACCTGGTAATAGTTTCAGAGTTAACCAGAGAGTTAACTAACTTCATTAAAAAACATTAACTGATCAAAAACTACGACCTAAAAAAGACCTTTAATTTTAAGGTTAGGTAAACAGCACATTTTGTTTGTCGTGTTTCACTATCCTGAGAGTGTGGTTTTAGGGTAAAAGTTACCAGGATGGTTCAGTTATAAGCCAAGGAGAACTGCCATAGCAATGTCATTTTTAAATTGCCAAACGAATTAGTTAATTTGAAGAATTAAATTTCATGACACAGGATAAAATTATATTAATGTATTCTCATAATTGCTTTGCCCCCTCAAAAAAAGATTTTAAAAACGCTTTGAACAACAATTGTATTCAATTTGAAGGTATCAAAATAAATTATATCAGAAAATATTAGGTCTGTGTATTATCAGCAACACTTACTTATTTCTCTCTTTACTGACCTACCTGATCTATCTGCACTATTGATCTACCTGTCCATCTACGTCATTTACCTACCTGTCCATCTGAGTATCTACCTACCTACATATCTGCGTATGTACCTTCTTTTCTATCTGCCTATCTACCTACCCACCTATCTGCATATAAAATGAGAGAACAGGAGCAGCGATTCTTTCTGTTACCTGCTTGGTGGAGAAGACAGCGACCTCTGAAGATTAACCCCGGAGTTCATGTCATGATAGTATGGTTGGCTCGGGATTTCTCCAATCGGGAAGTTGACTCCAGTTCCCTGGGTTATGGGTGCTGAAGAACAAAATGAAAAGAAACATTGGGACTGATACCCGCACTTACCTTTGTTCAGATATCTTAAGGTTTTATCCACTGTACTCTGGGTTAGGACTTAAAACACTTCCTCCTCATATCAAGTTTGAGGATTTAGGCACTCAGGCTATGATCACTGGCTCATACTTTTCCTGATTCCACTTTCCAACCATCCTCACTCAGTCCTTTGTATTAAATGTTACTTTATTTGTCTTTAGATGTCTCAGGTACACCAGAATAGGGTTCTTATTGCTTAACACCTAACAAATAGCTTTGCATTAGAAAAATCATGGTTAAATAAATATAGGATAGTTTTACAAATAAATACCCAAGATAATTACTGTATAATAATGCTAAAATTAAGACTATGATTATAAATCATGGTATTTATCTGGACATGATGTCACACACCTATATTCCCAGCACTGTACTACTGGCTGAAGAAGGAGGATCTAGAGTTCAAGGCCAGTCTGGTCTATATTGCAAGTTAGAGGCCGGGCTGGGCTACATAGCAAGTCCCAAAATCAAACAAGAACATTAACAACAAAAAACATGATATTTATAATTATTTGATATGATTCTTATATTAGGACGGGTATATAAGTGAAATTCATAAATCTGAAAAAAAGCCAAGTGTTTTTTAAAATCCATATTCAAGTTTCATATATGAATACTAAGTGTGACTTTACTCAAGACTTATGTCTTGTTTGTTTTGGTTTTTTTTTAAAAAGCTTATACCATAACTTTATATAAAACATTTAAAATATGCTCATGGAGTTTTATATTTTAAGGTAGTTATTTAAAAGCCAGGAAATCTTTTTTAACTTGCCAGTACTTTATGAATAATAATATTTTATTATAGAAGTATTGCTTTTGGTTCAATAGAGCACATCTGTTCAATTTTTAAATTTATTTTGAATAAACTTGGGAGGCAGCATGCTGTGTTAGAATGAACAGTTTTGGAAGATAAACAGCCTTTTAATTTGCACCCCTCTTCCACTTACAAGCTATGTGCCTTAGCTTTCTAATCTATACAATGGAAATAACGATAATCTTCCAGATGTGATTATTTAGAGGATGAAATGAGGTAAGGAGGAGTAATAGTTGAACATCATATCCAATGCATAATAAATGCTAAAGAAATGTGAGTTCCCTTCCTTCTTTGCTTTCTTCCATGATGGAGTGGTGTTTCATAAAGATAGAATCATTCAAAAAAGTGCTAAAAACATAGATAGAAATTAACCTGTTTGCTAAAACTTTGCCATTCCAAAACCACTGACTGTGTCCATTACTGGCAAATATTAAAATGGATATTAGATAGTCTCTGATCCCCTGCCCTCAATAAACACATTGTACAACAAGTCAGGTGAATAAAGCACTTGTGAAAAACATATAAATAACAGGACAATAAAGATTACAATGCAACTGCCCCAACAAACAATGTAATAAATAAATGCTACATAGAAAAAAGAATCCATACCAGGCTTGAATGGTCCAAGATGTTTGTGGAAAAGCCCTATCTGGCACTAGACTTTGGAGAAGAGCAAAGTATTAAATGAACATTTTTCCCAGCAGGGCATGGCAACGACAGACAAGACACAAAGTGCAGAAGAGGCAAGCTTGTGTCAAAGGACAACGCTTACGGCCAGTTGTATGTCTTCACCTTCTGGCCTTCAGAAAAGCTGTTCTCTGGCTTGGCAAAAAAAATTTTAAAGCCCTTGAAATTCACTCTTAAGAACAAAAACCTGAATTGCCCCTCCTTTTAATTGCCTCTAATTGAATGTAAAAGTCCAAAGGGACCACAAAATTTCAAGAAATTTTTCTTACCCAGAATTTTAAATAAATATCCTAAATGTATCCACTATCAACTGATTTATTTTTTAATATCAGGCAGGCCTAGATTAACTTAAATTATTTTTCAGAAAGTATGATTAGGAGGCATCTACTCTATTGCAGAGAAGTAATCATGGATATATGCAGAATTTCTCTCTCTCTACTAAAATGAAGTAAATCACTATATACATGATGAGTCTCAGCCCTAAACTCTATAGCATCTGCCCTCTGTTATATTGTTCATTTTATATAACATACTTTAACTTCCTTTTACCCAGAAAATATTATCTATGATGTACAACTGTGTCTGGTGAATTATTTTGACAATTAATATATGACTATGTTTCTTGTGGCCTGAGGTACACCAGAGGTTAAAAAAAAGTGAGGTAAGAAATCCCACAGTAACCACGTGCTTTAAAATTTATTATTGGAAACATTTCTAGGTGACATTGGAAGCAGGGTATGTTAGGAACAGGCTTTTGAGGGGCTCAGAGAATGTGAGATGTCTGGCTTCCTACAACAGAAGTGGACACGGTTCTGAGACTTCAGCTACTAACTCCAAGCTGACAGGCTACATCTACTTGAAACTATTTGTAAATATATAAACATTATGTAATCTTTAGACAAAGACTTGTGGTTTCCATAGGGCATAGATGGCTCAATAGTCAACACAGTTAGCTTGGCTATAAACATACTAGGCATAATATACAGTAAAATAATTTAAAATCTTCAGAAATTTTTTCCCTAAATTTTGTCCTAGAATGGTTATTCTACAGTACCAAGACAGCAACAAAAATAATTTTTACACATGGACACTGTAAAAAATTTAGTATGTGTTCTGACGGTAAACAGAAGATTACATGAAGAAAAAATAGATTAATAATAAACATGGCCGAAATGCTGAAACAACACAGGAATTACTTAGCAACAAGGAGAGTGAGTGAGAACAGCAAGTCTTGGTTAGTCTTCCTGTTTAAAAGCCTCTGGAAGAACTCACAGCAGATGCAGAGATCAGCATTTGCACCTCTCCCGGAGAGCTGCAAATCATGTTTAAGAGGGTGCCAATATCCGCTCAGAAGAGAAGTACCAAAGATCCTCAGATTCAAGGGTTAGAGGCCAACCCTTAATCTCTCTTATTGTTCTCCTCACTCCAAAGGCTGATCCTAAATCAACTTTTAAGATGGAGATAATATCATTCAACAGAGAGATCCCTATGCTAAAACTGAATAGCTTCATTAGCTAATGTCAACATACACATTAGGGGGTCATATGATAGTAAAACCCTTGAGGATTGATCCATTAAAACACTGTGAAACCTCAAGCAGCCAGAATTTATGATATACAGCCCAAGAGCGGTGTTGAAGTTTATGTTGATTTAGCAAACCCTTATTTCATAAACAATGAAGTTCAATTGTGTAAACAAGATTATAATGTGAATATATTAAAACACTTAAGAGAATAACTTCTTGGGCATTTCAGAGACACCTATCTCCATATGGAGAAGAAAATAAATGTTTGCCAAATAAATTAACTGAGGAATGAATTATGGATAATTAATATACTAATTATACATCAGTAATATTTGTTATAGCAAATAACCTAACAACCTCTAATAAATACAGTATGAATTAAGAACAAATGAACAAAGTGGTTAAATTTACCATGTTTCTGAACTGTTATAGTCAGTATTTTTAGCCTATTTTTATGTTTGAAATTTGCATTTTTCAAAATATGTCACTCTGGGCTTTTGAAAGTTCCAAAGCGGTTCTCTTTGACAGCATTTAGCATAACGCTACCTATAATGAGGTATTTAATAAATATTTTCTGACAGATGACTCCACTGCTCTTCTCGTAAGAAGGATGAAAATACATCATGGTATTGAGAGAAGTACAAATTTAAGCAAATAACTTCATATGCCTCATAACTATAGCAGCACAGCCTTTCTACTAAAGCCCAGTAGGAACATGCACGCGTGCGCGCGCGCACACACACACACACACACACACACACACACTTCAAATACCCCTGCCTTCCATGATACTGAAATGAGGTAGCAAATAAGCAAGCCAGGCACATTCCTTTACAAATTTAAAATAAAACCTTTCAGATGCTGGAGGCCTTCACAGACCACATATAGATTTGGAAAAACATGTAAGGCTTGTGGCTTTGCACAACAGAATAGCCCAGGCATTGCATACCTTGGAGCTACTGGGATACACATGTGCAATTTGTACCTCTTATTCTGCCCCCAAGTAAATGTATCCATGACAGTCATCTTTTGGTCATATACATACACTTGCCTACTCCAGAATTATGGCAAATTAACGCTACCTATGGTCTTAAATGCCCATGTGTGTCATTCTGTGATGAATATGCTGCTTGTTCTGGTCACTTAAGAAATCTGAGTTACTAGAGAAACTATGGTTCAAAAAACACGGTCATTTACTTGCTTGACCGTGACTCTTAGGCTCAGTAACTCACTGTCTTTGTTCTTTTGAGATCATCATAATTCTTACTAATGACCTCTGGATTTGGCCCAAGTAAGAAACACAACTTAAACACCCATCAGAATGCCAACTTATCATCTGAAAAACATCTTTCCAAACTGACACACTTTCTATCAAAACAGCAGTTCAAAATCACAAGGCCCTCTGGGTGCTATAATCCCAGCTCCCCAGGAGGCGTAGGTAGGAGGATTGTGGCCCTAGGCTGGCCCTTAGCAAAAACCACAAGACCCTATCTGAAAAATAATCCAGTGGTGGGGCACCTGCCTAGCAAACATGAGGCCCTGAGTTCAAACTCCAGTACTGCCAACAAACAAAAAAGTTACATGAACAAGCTAACTCAGAGAAGGGGTGTATTAAAATCTGCATTTTGAATGTATTTGCACATGCTAATAAAAGGTAAGGTTAATCAAGGAAACTTCCGCCTTGCTTAGATAGCTAGCCAGGTAAGCATACCGTAGAAAAATCTGAATCTGCCTGCCAAGAAGGGTGTCTCAGGTGAGGTGGCCAGTTGAAACAATTGTACATTGTTTAGGGTAACAATGCCTTCTATCTATATCCAACTACAATCTGCAAAGTTAATCTCTGCATCCCTTTACACTCTGCACATTAGTGTGTATATCCTGTACATCTCAATCCCCACACCAAAATATTAGTAAAATGAAAAAGCACTTATCTACAGGAAACTTATGTGGGTTATCATAACAACACAGAGTACATTTAATTAATCACACTTCCTTTGATATAAATGCCCATCTATGGTCACAGAGAGAACTGAATTAAATGAATACCAATATCATGACAATAAGAATAACAAAAATTAGCGTGGTACAAAAGAAATTTTTAATGATTTGAATGCAAATATTTTAGAAAATCAGACATAATATATTCATTCACCTAGGAATTCATCAAAGTATTTGAAATTTTAAAGTTCAAAGTCTCCTAATTTGTAGTCACTCTCCACACCATATTTAAGGTTCAAAATGTAAAATATTTTGCATCATACTGTGTACTTAAATAATAAGAAAACAATTTACTTACTTCTGGATACCCTCACAAGTTCTGATACATTGAAGACTCCAGATTTTACAAAACTATCCTCAAGGTATCCTGAAAATAAACATCAAGGGGAAAAAAGATCAACACAAGCAGGAAGTAAAATAACTGATTAAACACTAGAATTTGTTCACTTTTAGACCAAAGGTTAGAACAAAAACCAAGAATGCTTATAGAAAGGACAAGTAAAACCTTTGTGAATGCAAACTACCTCCATTTGAATAAAAATAAGAAGTGTAGATGCTAAATAATCTCTTAGGAAAAATTTTCTTAACTTTCTAAATGTACAAAGCAATTGGTGTGATTTGTCATGGCCCACGCATAAAGAATGAAGATCCAGGGTACTCTCTGAATGTGTTTGACTCTGTAGCACCTGGTAGCTAAAGTCTATCCATTAAAAAAAAAAACAAGGAAAGAAAGAAAAAGGAAAACCACAACCACAATTAGCGCCTTGTTGGAAATACTTCAAAGATTTTTTGAAACCACTGTTCTTTCACAAATCCTTCCCTGATTAAAGAAAAGTGAGCTGTTATTACCCAAACTCCCACCCTTGTTCCAGGGTCACAAGTAACACAAAAGCAGAACTGTACACACAGCACAGACTTCTTTGCATCAACCTACTTCTGTGCACCTTTAATGTACCTTGCACAATTTCAGTGCATTCATTACTCATCCTACTATTCCTTGGACTCCCTTTATTTCAAGAACTAGATACTTTATTCAGCAAACGACAGAGAATCCAGGCCTCTAGCAATGCCACGTGATACTTATGTGACATCTGGGCATACAGTCCATAGTTGGCTATGGTTCACGTTTCAGGATCCTGAGAAAGTTCAGGCCTGTTTGGTAGCTGGTCTGATAAATTCAGAACTAGAGATGAGGACTCCCACAAATAGCAATAATGTCCCCCTCAGTTCTCATCTATGTCAAGGGAGTATAATGAGGCTGAGGAGGGAGAAAATAGCTTAGAGTAAGAGATATGGCTTGCCTTCTGCTGCCCCAGGGAGATAATAAGAAGAGTCTGAAAATTCTTAGAATTGAAATACTTCTAGGGTGAAAAAAAATCCTCCAAACTCCAAGAACTGGTGATCTGGTTGAATTTTACATAGAGCTGTAGGACTAACCAAGGGATTAGATTCAGTACTGGTAGGTGAGGCAAGTGTTGCTTAGCAACAAGGAACACTCAAGTCAAAGAGCTAGAATTTAAATACAAGCCCCAGTTTACCAATTATGAGATCTTGGACAGGTTATTGGACCTCGTTGTACATAAGATTTCTCATTCATAAATTAAAATAGTAAAATCACCTATCTCTTTCCATAAAAGACAAAGAAAATAATGTCATTGGCATATAGCCCTTACTGGTGTGAAGTGAGGAGCCATGCGTATCTGAACACTGTTATATCTATCCATTGCCTTCTTTAGAAATGGAAAAAAAGAAAAAAGGGAATTACAAGGTCTCAATTAGTGATAAAACTTAGGTCTCATATTAAATTCACTACTCTGAAAAAATATACATGTTAAGAAAATAATAAAATACTCTCATCTGATGCACTTCTATTTTCAAAAACTTCTTGAGAAGTTAATTGTCACTAGGTTGAATTCATTGCAATGTTATTGAGTAACTTTTATGGAACCAGCACTGTATTAGGTGCTTAAAAGTCATGAATACAAAAAAGGATAACTGATTCCCTTTGCCCAGTTGGAAACAGATGTTTTTAATTTTCTAGACCATTGTAGGTTATCATTGTATACCAAAGTTTTTTTTGTTGCTTTTGTTGGTTTTAAAGAGTACCTTATTATACTTAATTGTGTATGTGGTAAACTTAATAAATATAGTAAATAGAAAAACCTTATTTATCAGTAGTGCTAAGTTCACGTTTTTGTACTCTGTCAATACCTCTCCTTGGGTTTCTCTCCAGCTTCCTCTAGCCAGAAAACCCTCTTTCTTTACACTCTTCTCTCATCTTCAAAATCCAGCTCATCTACCACACACTCCATAAACTGCTCCTCTACCCTTTCTTCCTTCTATTTCCAGCCCTTACACAGATAGAAATCATTTCTTTCCTTAAGGCTCACATCACACCTAGTTTGTGCTTATTTTACACTTTACAGGTTCATTTTCCAAGAGATCTATTTTCAAGTCTTGAATTCCTTGATGGATTATCAGTTCTTTTATTTAGGGAATGACTGGGTTTTCTGAATCTCTAGAGCCCCTCACAGACTGACTCATTGCATTTATACAGATTAACTACTAAAGGAACACAGAACAAAATTTTTAAATTCAACATTTTAAAACAAGGACATGACTGAACAACTTAGTAATTTGTAACAAGGTAGATATGGATGATTTGAGATTGATGGATAACTGGCCCTTATCATACCCTAGAACTTATTTGCTGAGGGGTTTATTTAGGCCCTTGGGTTAAATAGGAAAAAGTAATGATTAAGGTCAGATTATATCTCAGTTTTTGTTATGTAATAATGTGTAATTTTAGGTACATACTACAAAATAATAAACAGAGTACTATAATGTTCTCAAAGTAGGAGCAGAAAAATACTTGTAAAATAAATTGATGAATGAGAGAATAATTGTTGAACATTTCATTATATTTATATGAATTGTGTAACATGTAATATGTAACAAATTTCAATAGGTAGATTTCATCTGAAGTTCATTTTCTTATTACAGCAGTGAGAGTCAGGGGTCCATCTGCTTCTACGTCATGCCTGTAAGATGGAGTAGAGGGTAGGCATGTCATAAGGCAAATCATGAGTGAGGGGTGGGCCACTGCAAGGCTAACTCTACCCAGGAAGAAAGTCAGGCAATCAAACACAAATGAATACAATGACTAGCTCATAGAAAAAGCAAGACAATTCAGAATGTAATATGTTGTCTCTCACTCCCCACCCCCAACATCCCTAAGGTCTAAGAAATTGAAATCTACAAGGAAAACCAAAAGAGCTGTCTTATTAAAACTACAGAAAGCATTGAAAGTATGTTAGAATATATACACTAGATAAAATGCAACTCCAGAGGCCCCACTGGGTCCATTCCTGCATTGAGCCATGTCAAGGGAGGGTTCCCAAGGACTAGTGGTAATACCTATTGACAATGAGCCAAAAGGGATGGGAGGGGGTGAGAATTAGGTAAGGGGGTAGTCTGGGGTCCACAGTGGCACCTTCATGCATCTTTGTAATAAACAAGCATTACCCGAGATGAGGCAGAGTAAAGAAAGAAATACTGGATGACATAATACTTGCACAGCTAATTGTGCTTGCTCAAGTTTACAGGACACAATACTTGTGGATTCTGCAAATTAGTATGGAAGTTGAGACTCAGAAAAAAGTCAGGGTACTGTTGTTAACTTGAAAACTCCTGTAACCTCCCACCTATGGGGACCTTTCAGAAACATGGTTTTCACATGTTTCATAGACCACTGTAAATCTCAATAGTTAATTAAAGAGCAAAGATCTTAAAGCAATTTGGAAACATTCAAATAGTAAATTTTCTTCATCTATTACCAAAAATATTCACATTTTGAAGCCAGGCAGCTGCTTAATGGCTACAAAGCAGTATCACACAACAGTTTAAGCCAGGAAGAAAAGAACAACTCTGCATTTGTGTGATGTTGTATTTATACTACATGTATGCCTTTTTAAAAAATAAAATTGAGTAGGAAATAAAGAGCTCCACTAACCAAAAAAAATCTCAAAGGCAGTATCAAATTATATTATTTTACTTCTTTTTTATTTTTCTCTAACAAAATCAACAGTAAATCACTACTGAGAAGTTAATACAGTGTTTAACCTCCTTTACAAACAATAACAGAGGGACACAATGGCATATCTAACTGTTAATATCTCAAATTATAATCAGCACCATTTGAATGTTAAACAACATTTACATAGAAAATCCAAAGGAAGACTGATAACACTCATTTTTATGATCTACTGTGTACTATTCTTGAAATTAAAAAAAAAGCCACAGGGAAAGCAGTTATTAAACTCATGAAAGCTGTCTTCAAGTATTTGAAGAATGGTTAATGTAGATGGTGGATTAGACTTATTCTGCATTGTTCCAGGAGCTCAGATTTTTGTTTCTTTTTTTTCTCAATAAACAGTTTTTTTCACTCCATGAGAAAAATACTAAGAAGGAATGTGAAACTGAAAAATGAATAATAATCAACACAGGTCCAGCTACTGTGCTGAAACCATTAGAGTCACGAATTCACAATTACCCTATGAAACATGGTAGTACTATTACCATTTTACAGATGAAGAAATGTCTATCTACAAAGGTAGGAAGTTTCTAAACACTGGGCTCCAAGCACACTGGATATAAGAATTTTCACTTTGGGTAGAAAATCAGGAAAAAGTCCCCTGAAGCCCTTGGTGACCTTCAGATTCCACTTTCTTCTGTGGCTGTTCTCTTTTTTTTTTTTTTTTTTGACACTGTTCGTTTGAAGAAAAAACAAGTGGATGTGATTCCAATTGTTCACTTCCTTCAGCAGACTGTAAAATGTGGTGAAACTGTCTATAGATGCAAAAGTGAGAAGGTGAGATTTTACACCAGCTTTTTGGCAGTCATAATGTCAGTTACCACAATTAGCCGACTGATGATTTTCGGGTAGTGGTGTTATGAGACATCTCTACCTTCAATTTCTGACATGTCCATGGTTACTGCTGGAAACTGATTAGGAAACATGAACATTAAGCACTACCACAATAATGGTTCTCTGCACAGGTTGAATATCAACCTAAAACACAGTTAACATTCTAATACTAGCTTAGAACCAAGTTTTACCCTTCAATATGAAATGCAGATCCCTGATGGTAAGATTTAAGTAACCTGAAAGTCAGAAATTTCCCAACTTTAGCATACTCTGAGTTCTATATTTGTTCTTATATTTTTTCAACCTTCTAGTTTTAAAAGCTTTTTCCTGCATACCTATAGATATAAACGTGTGTTCGCCATCTTGATTGCAATGACCATTTCATAGATGTGTGCCTGTGTCAAAACTTGTCAGGTTACTATGTTTCGATTATGTGTAAA